GTATTTAGTACATAATTCGTATTCGGTAATTATAGATTGGCTTTAGCCTTTTTCTTGGTCTCTATTAATCATAATATTTTCCTAATATACCATAATCTATACCACAAATTTACAGTGTCAGATGCACACAGACTGTCATACGAATAGACATAAATTTTCCAGTTTTCTACTTCTACTAACATTTTTAAATTTTTCATTGTGAATCACCTGTTTATCTCTGATTCATCAGTAATTTGCTACTAGTAAGTAAAACAAGGTTCTCAAATACATTTGTATGTTTATTTGATAGTGTCATACATGCGTTTACACACAAGCAATCCTGGATATGATATATAGATGATACAAGCTGTCCATTAATTAAAAAATAACGGTATTCTATTCCTCAAAGGCAAAGCAAAAATTTAGATCCCAATTGTATTTATATTAAGAATATATATTAAGCAAAAAATTGGAGCTTGTCAAAACGAAAGCTGTTTATAAAATGTATAAATATAGTGAACACTACTAAACAGTGCTCACTGAAAGACATTACATAATATATTGACATATATTGTCGTTTGACTTAATTTTTGGACTTTGGTGTGTGATTTTAATATCGTAGATTTTTAACAGACAGCTATACTTTGACATATACCATGATCGTTGGATTTCAGCAACGGTCAAGGGTAAAATTTTTGGTTTTTGACGGGATTTAAGTTTTTAATCTTCATATAAAACAATAATCTGGATACAGTAGGCAATATTTCGGAAATCAAAAGATATCGCTATTTCCTTGCAATTCCTAATTCCACATCTCATCGATAAATAAATGCTTTTGGTTCGAGTATCAGGAAAGACTTTAATACTAGATAATAACAACCACACTGGTATGTCTAGAGATTTTCTTGTAGGCTTATTGCCACGCTGCCCAAGCGGCAAGCGTGCTTTCTTTAGCAAGTCTATAAGCTGAATATTGAAATCTGATCCAACTTGCTTGAATTGTAACTCGACACCAAATTATAGAGTAGAAAGTCTCAATATAATTTAAGAGTTCAATTCACGATTTCTTGTTGAAAATTTAAACTTACCCTACCCATAGTATCGTTTTAATTTACCTCCCACAATCTGGGGTAAAATTTAGCGATATATATATACAGTGGTGCGTGGGTCCCATGTTTTTTTTTGTGTTTTTTTTTGGGGGGGGCAAGGCAGTACTTTTCCGACAAACCGAAAAAAATTTCCGACAAACGAAACATTTTTCCGAACCGGGCCACATTTTAAATCTCCTCCCCTGTCGACAATTTTGACAATTTTCAACAACATTGACAATTTCCCGAGGGATTTCAACAATAGGGGGCATGCCCCCCAGTCACGGCGCCACCGTATACATAGTAACGCAGACTCCCACAAGGCAATCTTGTAAACCAGTTATTTTTTTTCTTTTTGTAAAATAGTGTTACTGAAGGTTTTACCGTGGCTAAATAAAATTTTAGTGTATTGTATTGTATATTCTTCAGGTCCGTATCCGAACCCTTATTTGTTTATCAATGAAAAGGACTCAGGAATCAACGCGATTGATTTGCTAACTAATGCTAAAACTGGCGTTATCCGTGGACTTAAAAAGAATCGCGGGATGGCAATTAACACAGTGGAAATGAAAATATACTTCGGAAACGGCAGCAGTATATCCAGGGCTAACCTTGATGGCACGGGTGTTGAAGTTTTTTTACAAACTGATGATGATGTTTGGAAAATTTTAGTTGATTGGTTAGGAGGCAGGTTATTTTGGATAACATTAATAAATCATATACCACAAAGGTGGATTTTCGTGTTTTATTTAAGTGATAAGGGGAGAGGAACGCAAGCAAAAACAGGTACTCAGAAATTCGATATAGCAGTGGATCCAACAGTAGGGTAAGTGTTATTGATTTGAGGAATATCTTTATGATGTGTTATCGATGTAAATTATGATATGTTCAAAAACCCCTTGTCCACTTCACCTGCTACCAATGCAGGCCATCTTAAATAATAATTAATTCATAAAGTAATTTAAGAAATGAGCGCTTAATTAGTCAATGTCTGATGGGAAACCTGGTACAAATTTCGTTTTGATGTAATATTTCAAATCCGACTATGAGGACTGGACTAGATTTGAAGTTCGCGTAATTTGATCACGTCCGAGGCAAAGCCGAGGACTGGATCAAAATGCGAGGAGTTCAAATCTAATCCTGTCTATTCTCGTCCCCAGAGCCATTTTCACTCGGTCACTCGTTCAAAATTAGGCTCTGCATGGGCTAGACAACTAATGGGACAGATCTCATTGGCTTCTCAGAGAACTGCTATTTCGCAAAAGTTGAGCAGAATTCGCTAGGCACAATTATTCTATCAAATTATAGCAGAATAGATTAAATTTCCATAACGGTCATTTCTGTGAGATATATGGATTTAGCATATACAATATACTCTGGAGGTGGATAGCGCTTTTTGCGCAATTTGATTGGTTGCTCATCTCGGAGTATCGTTGCTCTATTCATCTTCGATCAAAATAAATTTTCTTCCCGATTTACTAAACGAAGCTGTAAGTGTATGCAGGTTCTGCCCAACACAACGAAAGCCACAAACTCATGTTTAACAGTGTGTAGAGGTTCTCTTTAAAACTTACTCGTATAAGTGAACGTAGTAAAACAGCATCCTGTCGAATTGGGACGCTTTAGCACCCGTAACAATTTTTACAGTGAGGTATTAGGAAGAAACGAAGTATGTGTGTTGACATATGTATTCCGCTGCTCCGTACTTATAATTTCACTGCTCTCTTTAAGACAGATATAAAGAGTTACAAACAGCCATAAACGGTAAATTAATAATCAACTTAGTGCAATACTTTCTAACCTTTCTAATCAATTGTCATGTAAAGTCACCCTTATATAGTAGTTTAGATTTCCTTGTACAATCATGAATATTATTTGCATATTCTATATTAACAAATATTAATTTGAAAACAGAAATTATATAGAGAAATTGGTGCGTACTAAAGTATCGACGCTCAAATTTTCTTGGGTATTAGCCAGAAAAAAATTACCGAAAACTAAAAATTCTCATTTAGCACTCAAACCCTTTTTCATTATGTGTTCATGTATAACACGCGGAGTGATATTGTCATATGATGTAGACGTCGTATAGACAGGATGTGCTTGACGCAACAGAGCCAGCAAAATATTAATGTTGGTATCGGCATGTTGAAGAAGAGACGTTACTTGGACACATGATATTAATTTTTAGGTCTGCATTGCTACAACGCTAAAATCTTGTAAATTCATTGCAACTCAATGAAAAGCGATTTAGTTTAAATTTACATCATACACAATTATACAATCAATCAATCAATCAATCAATCAATCAATCAATCAATCAATCAAAATGTTTAATCAAGATACCTACGAGCTATATACAGGAGGTAGGTCGTTGCAGGAGGAACGGAAGGTTAACCCTATATAAGAACCCCCTTAGAAAAGATTAGTAGCTATAAAAAGTGTTAATAGTATGTAAATTAATGAGTGTATTAGTAAACTAAGATAGACGTATTAGTAAATTAGTAAATTAGTAAATATTCATGTGGCGCTTGAGTTCCTGCATAAAACTACGACAACTATTCGGTTCGACAACGTTTAGATGCAAAGCGTTCCATGCAGTGACTATTCTAACAAAAAAAGAATACTTGTAAGAGTTAACTCTAGAAAGCTTGGAGTGTAGTGAATATTTGTGATTTTCTACAGTTTTCCTCGATTTCTTATATTCAAAAACTTCATCGAAGTTTATACCATTTAGGCCAAGAACTGTTTCATAGCACTCTATGAGAGATAAATACTCATTGCGCTTTTCCAAAGTATTCCATTTTAGTAAGTTGCAAAGATCTGGGTGGGACATCTCTTTCCGCTTCTGTTTAAGTGCTATCCGAGGTGCTCTTCTCTGAACAGATTCGAGAGCCCTGATATCCTTGGATAAGTGTGGCGACCAGACTGGTGCGGAATATTCCAAAATAGGCCTAACCAAAGCTTTGTACAATAAGGTGAATGTTGCTAAGTTAGATGATCCGACGGTCCGCTTAACCAGACCTAGCATTCGGTTTTCTCTACTAGTAATATTATGGACATGAGATGACCAAGCTAAGTTATGTGTCATCATAATAGCTATAGGTCCTTAAATTTGTCTGTTACTTCAAGTTTCTTATCTGACAGATAGTATTCGGGTAGAGAAATGTCTTTTGAGTGTATTATTTGCATTAATTCGCATTTCGCAAAGTTGATGGTGAAGTTTAGTTGCCAATTTTCAGTCCAATTTCGGATACGGTCTAAGTCATATTGTACAATACTAGTATCGGCAACTTTGTCTACTAATTTTCGGTAAATTTTTGTGTCATCTGTGAAGAGCTTAGTCGAGCTTTGAATTTCCGAGGGTAGATCGTTTATATAAATGAGGAACAAATTTGGACCTATGATTGTTCCCTGGGGTACCCCTGATTTAACGGGGGACCAGTTTGACTGCGAGCCACGTACGATAACACGTTGATAGCGGTCCGTGAGAAAGTATCTAAACCAATCGAGCAGTGCTCCACCGATACCGTGTTGTTTCAGTTTGTATAATAACGGCTCGTGTGGCACACTGTGAAAAGCTTACAAAAGTCCGTAATTACAACATCATTGGGAGTAGATTCGTCTCTAGATTTAGCCCAGTCATCGAAACATAGTAGCAATTGGGATAGTGTAGATTTATTTGGTTGGAAACCGAATTGATGTTCGCAAAAAATATGTCGTCAGTTGTTAGTTGTCACATGTGATCCTCGTGGCGAACAGACGTGTCTCAAATCGCTCTGTTAACTACGACCTTATCTCAACACCAAAGCTATTAATCTTATAGTTACTAATGCTTTAATTGCCTACATGTCGAGTACTTTTTGCTGCTAACGTATAGAAGAGTATATTTCAGCGTTAACTTTTATGATGACCAGAGGCAGTGTTGCTGCAATGGCCGCCATGAAATCAGAAATCGAAGACGCCTTAAAATCTGAGGCTTTCCAGCAACTTCTTCAATTGGCTATCCAGGAAGCGCTAAATGTTGCAGTGTTGAAAATTATTGAACCTATGATGAAAACGATAGCCGAATTACAGGAGAAAATTACATCTCTAGAATCGCAGCTAGTGAGGGTTGAAAATATGGCGAATGACAACGAGCAATACTCGAGGCGTCACAATGTTAGGATCTCAGGGTTTGAAGAAGAGAGAATTGAAGATTGTATTACAAAGGTTGTCCAGTTTTGCAACGAGAAATTAAAAGTTGACTTATCTGATCAAAATATTGATAGGGCACACCGAGTTGGGAAACCAAAGGAAAATCGATCTCGCGCGATCATTGTTCGTTTCAAGTCACACAAAGACAAAATAGCTGTGCTGAGGCAACGAAAGGAGTTGAAGTCTACGAGATTTTACGTCAATGAAGATTTAACAAGCAGAAATCAGCAGTTACTTTACTGTGCAAGGAAAGATTGCAAAAATGCAGCTTCAGCCTGGTCAAGGGATGGTAAAATTTTCGTTAAGAGGGCGTCCGATGAGAAAATATTTAAAATCGTTTCAATGAGTGATTTTTTACAAAACGGCTTACTTAATTTTGCATATTAAGATTTGCGGCTTAGTGCCGACAAACGTTTTGTAGTGAACCTAATTGTTTTTTAATGTTAAACTTTAATCTTTGTTATTTTGTGTTTGTGATTGTGCAGCAGGAGGTAAGATATCTTTATATTTTTCCACATGGGGGTTAGTTTGCAAATTTATAGAGCAGCGATCGGGGAATTTAATTCTTTCAAGATTTCAAGTGTTGTTTATACACATTTTGTCCAAGGATTCTTGCTGGTTGCTGGTTATATGTTTTTAATCATGTTTATTGTCTGTCTAGTCATTACTTTAGCTAATGATGTTCAATTAAATCCCGGGGCCAGTTCAACATTTTAGTATTGGACAGTTAAATGTTAGGAGTTTGAATATCAGAGAAAAATTTGAGGAACTTTCCTTCCTAATCAAGGAGAACAATTTTGATGTTTTTGCCGTATGTGAAACATGGCTCAATGAACACATTTCTAGTGACTCATTTGTAATTCCTGGTTACAATCAAATTATTCGCCTTGATAGAGAAGGTAGAATGGGTGGGGGCGTTGCTTTTTTCACGTCTGAGTCACTTGTTGTAAAACGGCGAGAAGAACTTGAAATTAACGGTTTTGAACTCCTTTGGATTGAATTTCGAGTGAATCAGCACCACATATTATGTGGTATTGGATATCGGCCACCTAACAACAACCAAATTTCTGTACGTAATAAATATACGTATAAATCAGTGAGCAACAGAATTCAGAAACATTTGATGTAGTTGCAATTTCGCCATTTTCACAACATCAAACGTTTCTGTTGTTCACTGATCTATACGTCATGGCTGTGGTGTCCATAGAGATTATAAATAACGATAGAGGGGGAATCGGGTGAAATTTGGGAGCACGGTAATGGGGGGCAGTGGGGAAATTGAAATCACGAATAAACACCACACAAGTCTTGGGTTGCACTTGAAACCAGAAAAATTTAAAACAAGAGTCACAAAACTGGGTGTTTTATATGCTTTGAATGTCATTACAAACATTCCCCCCAAATTTTTAATTCAAACAATTAATTTAATTTCTCTTGAAAATATCAAAAGTACTGACATCAGCATTATTTGGAACACTGTTTGAAATGTGTTATAAACAAAATTGTGGTAAAAATGCTTGGTAAAAAACAAAACAGAACTCAGTTAACTACCATAAACAAGAATTTAGACATATTGGCTCTAACTCTCTCTTATATTTTAGCATTTTAATTTTTTGACCCCCAATACTGAATAGACACGTTCCCTTTCTTTGAATGAATTAAGATTACGATGCCCCCTCTCTCTAGTGTTATTTATAATCTGTATGGTGATGTCGCTATATTTTCTTTCAAAATCAATCCACACCATTTTATATGTACATGTATAAAGTTCCATGTGAAAGCATTCAAAGCAACATACTGCACTTTGTCTTTGATTTATTTTCAGTGTTTATAAACAAATGTTTGCCAACTCTACTAGCAGAATCATGACAAAATACAGTTTCGCAAATACAGTTTCGCAAAATACAGTTTCGCAAAATGCAGTTTCGCAAAATACAGTTTCGCAAAATACAGTTTCGCAAAATGCAGTTTCGCAAAACACAGTTTCGCAAAATACAGTTTCGCAAAATACAGTTTTGCAAAGTTTCGTTTCGCAAAGTTTCGTTTCGCAAAATACAGTAAGCCCATGCTATATAGATGAAAATAACACCATTTGATTCAGTGAAAAATTTCCTATCAATAGATATAATAAAATGTCAACATTATAGCGATTTACAACCTTTAGAGGGCAAGCGGTGTCATATTTCACTAAATTTACACAATATTCCCGAAAAATGTAAGAATGTAATAAAACGTATCCCGAAGGCATACCTTTCGCCTAACATTCAAGATATCTTTTTCATAATAGTCTTGTTTGAATCACAATCCAAAACACTACTTAGAGTGTTATTTTCAAGCTTGTATCAATAGTTGAAAAAGAAAAAATAATTGAAAACCTCAAAGAAGAAATTGAGTACCTCAACTGTCAGATTTAATGCAATTTTAGCAGTTTTGAAAGGGCTCTAGCATCGTACAATTTTATTTGCCCAAATAAATATACATATCATTAGAAAGTGCATCTTTTCAAGAATCATTGGCCAAACTTTTGTCCGGTTTGAAGGTTTCGCACATTGGGAAAATTTTTTTGCTGTACTCTCAACATACTCTCACAGAACGTATTCCTTCATAAACTATATGTATTACAAGAATCCAATGAATGAATGAATGAATAAATGAACAACTTTATTTAAAGAGGGTAGAAACACATGACAGCAATATAGCTGAAAAACCTGTGGCCCTCATATACAATACATACAAGGTTATTAATTCTATTTAAAACGTCTAAAAGCTACTTAGAGTAAATATGTAAAAGGTCTTAGGATTATAAATTTATATATACAAATTATATACAGTACAACTTGATGGTACGTCACAATAATAATTCGAAGCGATCGATGCCCTTATAAGATTCTAAGAAGTATTTTTTACGGGCAAACTTAAAGGAATTAACGCTAGGTTTCGTCTTAATATCCTTCGGGAGATTGTTCCATATTTTAATGCTGCTGGCAGATACAGATTTTCCTCCCTCAGTTGCATAATTATATTTAGGACACACTAAATTATATTCACCATGACGAGTTTGTCTACCATTAATTTTATTGTTTGTTTTAAATAAGTCCTTAATATATTGTGGAGCTTGATCATGCAGGCTGTTGTAAACTAAAGTGCATTTGTTAATTTTAACTTCGTCATAAAAAGGTATCCAGTTCAGTTTATTAAAACTGTCTATTGACCTGGAGGAAGTGTCAGTTCCTAAAATTACCCGATCTGCTCTTTTTTGTAATTTAAAAATTCTAAGCAGATCATTTCGCGAGCAGCAACTCCAAATAGAACTACCATATATCATAACTGGCTTGACAACAGCGTTGTAAAATAGCTTTCTCTCAAGTAGTGGTAAGTATCTTCGTATCTTTCTCAGCAGGCCGATTTTTTTACTACGGTTTTTACTAGGTTTGTTTATATGCTCTTTGAAAGTTAAATGTTCATCAATGATTACGCCAAGTAATTTTTGTGAAGAAACCAGTTCAATATTTGAATCACTTGCTGTAAGAGGTAAGGAAGATAATTGCACTCGGGATTTAAGGCGTTTACCAGTAATAAGAATTGAAATCCTGCCCAAATCAATCAATTCACCCGTAGGAAAATGAAAGGTCTAAATAGATCGTAAAAAGTCTATAAAAAGTCTTCGAGACCTTTCCTAGACATTTATGCGTTATTAAAAGTCTACCAATGGTCTTGCAAGACCTTTAAGTCGCGGTTGTCGTGAAATTGTCTTGAGACAAAGTCTTGAAAGGTCTACAATAGGTCTTTTAGGTAAATTTGATATCCAGCTGTTATCTCCTGAACTAAAAAGGTCTATAAAACAGCTACTCGTAATTTCATCAGCATGCCAATATGGCCCAATACAAATTATTTGCTAACTTTTCATTTGTATTTGAATTAGGCACATATATTTATTGTTTATATACACGTTAGAAGTAAAATAAAAGATAAATGAGTTCAGTAGACAAATGGTCACGTACGGCTTATACTTTCAGCACTGCAAATTGTTCGAATACTCGTGCGTCAGTTATTATATTATACTATTGCCTAGTCTTTGAGCCTTAGCAGGAATGCCATTCTGAAGGCTTGTGTTTCATCTTCACCATGCATTATGCAACTCATATTAATGCTATATACTTATATAAAGCGAATATATCTTACCGTGTAAAGCTTTATTAAATTTCAGTTCATTGCTCTCCCTTGCGCAAATGGTTTGCCTGATTAACACTAAAATGCGTGGGTAGGTGTCAGCTGGCCTTTTTAATGCTGTGATGAGTGATCCTAATTTAAGTCTTAAAAGATAAATTTTGTAATTGGCATGCAACATAATAGTAATGGTCAAAATCGGCTCAAGCATGTAGTCGTAGAACATATGTGATATGCTAACTGGTACAACCAAATCGCATCCTGAGGTATCTTTAGATATCAGTTAAAATTAGTGTGATCAGTCTGACTTAGTGTGCGACTGAGGTTGCACTTGCACAGAACAAAGCCAAACTTGCCAATGGAAGCAAATTTACTGAGCCAGCAACAGACATACGAACGAATTTTGTCTAAAAAAACGGTTTCAAAATCACATATGTGATATGATCTATATTAAATCTCAGTCATGTTTTCGCTCGCTACCCTGGTTTGAAAAAATGAATGCAAAACCCAGTCGCGAATTGCACTTAACGACCGAACGTTTCGACACTCCAGTCTAGTGTCTTCATTAGGGTGAGACTGGAGTGTCGAAACGTTGGGCCGTGAATGCAATTCGACTGGGCTTTGCCTTAATTTATTTCAGAGTAGCGAGCGAAAACATGACTGATATTAAACCTACTATTGCCGTGAACTCACAAACACACAAACTTTATGTTGAATCTGTTTAATATTTACATATTTAATACAAACCAGCTGAAAAGCAGATTGTAACACTCCCAGTTATAATAAAATATTTCAGACACAGTGTTTTAAAAGTCCTAATCCGTTTCAACCAAGTTTGGAAACCGTGCTACAAATGCTTGATCTGGCGAGTCACAAAATTGCATGTATGTGCACTTCTCTTGTATTTTCTCTATTTCAACAACTTGTATTTTATTGGTCTTTGGTGGGGCTACTACAACAATGTTCGGAACCGATGCATGCGTGATATCGTCGTGTATTAGGTTCACGTCTAGTCGTGGAAGAGTAGAAACAACCGCAACATTAAAAATAGGACACCTACATTCTACCTCGGCACACAAACACATTGGCTTGAACTGAGCGAAGAATTCGATATGTCCGTAACTGTCCTTATTTCCATCCGTGAACCTTATCGTGTAACTATTTCTGCTTTGAACACGTTTATAAGCTTTAGATTGGTAGACACACTTCAGTTTTCGGATACGGGAAAATGCTTGCACTTTCATGTTTGGAGGCGCAGAACCAAATGTTTTAGAAATCGCCTCAAACTCGAGAGGGGAAAGTTGACGCCAGCTAACTCCACCGATCCCATAACACTCTTGTGAAAGTTGTACCTCATTCTTCGTCGCTTTTCCTTTTCCTATCAGTTTATGGTAAAATTCGCATTCGTTGGAGCCGTTCAAGAGAAAATCTTTCTCAAGTTCTGGTATACGCTTCGAAATGGAAATTGCAGATATGATTTGACATTGTATTTGCTGCGTACCATGAATTGTTTTTAAAAGAAAACCATTTTTGTCTTCAAAATGGAAACACGAGTGTGTCCACAATGGTCCTAGCTCTCT